CCCACAAAACGTTTTCGAAATCACCAAAATAAAGCCATAAAAGCAATGTAACAGTGATCATAGGAACTGTGACCGAAATTTCACAATAGACGACATAAACAACATGTACTACCAAACCCTGTAGCCATAGCTGGCTGCATGACAATCAGTGTCCCATCAGCCGTCAGGATTGCTTGCATCAATGCCGGGGAAACTGCCAGATGATTTTCGGCAAGGTGACTTCTGTTCGCTATGGGTCCCTGCTCCGTGACAAATGTTGCACTAAGTTATGTCACCGTAATTATAGTTTTGAAGTTTTCGTGACTGCAAGGATTCATACTCTTTTTTTTCCGGTAAAGTCACGTAGGTAAAAAAATAAAATAGATAAAATCACGACGTTTTGTGCGTAACACAAGCGTCCTTACTCTTTGTTTTTTTCGGTAAAGTCACGTAGGTAAAACAATAAATAAAATATTTTTTTAAAATAAATGATTAAATGAAAACAACAAAATTATATCATTTGTGATTTCATTTAGTTGTTTTCAATTATTTTATTTAAATAATTTGTGATTTAAATTAGTTGTTTTCATTTATTTTATTTAAATCATTTGTGATTTAATTTAGTTTTCATTTATTTTAATTATTGTTTTACCTACGTGACTTTACCGAAAAAACCAAAGAGTATGAATCCTTACAGTCACGAAAGCTTCAAATCTAGAACAAGCACACCGCCGACACACTTAAGTGGTTGTGCTTTCGCTAAGTTGTCCCGACCTGAAGAAGGACGCTTGTGTTGCGCCCGAAACGTCGTGATCATGTCATCATAGCTGTCAGCTCCTTATCAGTGCCCCCTCTACCTTATTACAGACCAATTCAGACCTTATTGGTCACCCCGCCGTGCCCCTTATAAAACTCAACGTTCATCCTACAAAGTCACCATCACAAGGGGAGAAACACAAAAAAAGAAGACACTTATTTTAAAAAAAATTGCCCGTATTGAAATGGCTGTAGGCGCCCTTATGGACCTGAAAACTCAATTTCCCTGTACAAAAATAAGGTTACAGCGTATGGGGTTGACTTCTATGCGTCATCTGGATGTTGTTTGTAAAGATACACCTAAACACACACACCTATATTGTACTTTCCATGCACGGTTATAATATTCTATATTAAATTATGAAAATAGGGGTCTCCCCTTTCTGGCAATGAAACAGATGTTAAGATGTTAGTGATTTATCATTTATTTCTATTATTATTTGTTATTTTTATTTTTTACCTACGTGACTTTACCGAAAAAAACCCTAAGAGTATAGATGTTAAATTGTTAAAACACCAAACTGAAACGTTGCAAGAGGGGAAAACCCTATTATCATTCTGTAATAATTCTAGATTTCAAGCTTTTGTGACTGCCAGGATTCATACTCTTTGGTTTTTTTCCGGTAAAGTCACGTAGGTAAAACAATAAATAAAATAAAATAAATGAAAACAACTAAATGAAATAATTTGTGATTTAATAAAAATATAAATCACGACGTTTAGGGCGCAACACAAGCGAAGGCACAATCGCACAACCGCTTTCGCTACGTTGTCCCCACCTGAAAAAGGACGCTTGTGTTTCGCCCGAAACGTCGTGATTTAATTTAATTGTTTTCATTTATTTTATTTTATTCATTCTGTAATACTCTACAGATAACAAGGATGAATCGTGATAAACGATTCCTCGATATCAACACCACCAATTCGATTCTCTACGCCTCTCGTGGTTAGCCTAGGAATCGATTACACGTGACAATAGAATCTAAGAATCGATCCCAGCAGTGTTCCGGCTTCCCACGTGGTTGGTGATGGGGGGGGGGGGCGGTGATGGGATGCGAACCGGTTTGGTTCGGCTCGGATTTCGGTTCGTTTCGGTTCAATCTGAACCCCAAAACTCTTTCGTTGCCTTCTTGAGTCTCTCTCTGTCTTCCCGAAGTCGACATGGCGTCTGCAGTTACGCGGACTACGGCTGGCAAGAACGAGAGAGCGCGCAGAGAGACAAAGGCGGACGGGGAAGATAAATTACGGTGTGTATCATTGTGTGTGTGTGTCTCTCTCGCGTGTGTTTATCTGCTTAATGGGTGCTCGCTAGCAGCACTCGTCCCGATAGTTATCGAAAATAAATTCGTCTAGTGTACAGTGTGTTTCATTGTGTGTATAGGGAGCGGTGGCGCAGTGATTAGCGCACTGCGAACACTTTGGCCTGAGTTCGATTCCTGACCAAGGCTAACAATGACGAATATCTAAAATTAGTCCTCCCCCTAGGTCGACTCAACCTGAAATTAGTAGCTGGGGAGACAAAGGCGGCCTGGCGTGGTTTTGACCACACCACCCCCTCCGTGTGCCGTTCCGGCCTTCATAAGTGCTCGCTAACAGCACTTTCCCCAACAGTATGTTCAGGTTATACGGGGGATCTTTGGCTTTCTATACGTACAGTATGTATGTGTTGTGTGTGTATTTCTTAATGTGATGTGCCTGTCTGTGTGTTATCTCTGTGTGTACTAATGTCTACGTGTACGGCTGTCTCTATGTGTGTCCTGTCCATATACTAACTATATCTGTGGTTCAAGTGAGACAGTAAATCTGGCTGTGACGGTCCCACCTGATGACGGAGACTTGTGTTGCCTCCGAAACGTCGTGATTTATTATTTTATTTCTATAATTATTTTATTTCTATAATTATTTTATTTCTATAATTATTTCTATTATTTATGTTTTACCTACGTGACTTTACCGAAAAAACCTAAGAGTATGAATCCTTGCAGTCACGAAAGCTTCAAATCTAGAAATATATCTGTGGTTGGCATTAGCTTATATCTGTGCAAGTGCATTTCATGTGCCAAATTCCTGGCTATGCCATGCACATACTGTGACATTGAACGCAACGCACAGTACATTTTTATGTAATAGTCATCATAGCCACACGCGGGCATTTTCCATTGGCTCGCACACACAGAGCTCATTCAACTGAGTCTGGTCCACACCCGACACACCACATCCCATGTACCCGTTGCTGCGGTTACTAGTCACCTGTTGCTATGGTTACTAATCACCTGTTGCTATGGTTACTAGTCACCTGTCCTTGTTGCTATGGCTACTAGTCACCTGTTGCTATGGTTACCAGTAACCTGCTGCTATGGTTACTAGTCACCTGTCCCTATTGCTATGGTTACTAGCCACCTGTTGCTACGGTTACTCGTCACCTGTTGCTATGGTTACTAATCACCTGTTGCTACGGTTACTAGTCACCTGTTGCTACGGTTACTAGTCACCTGTTGCTACGGTTACTAGTCACCTGTTGCTACGGTTACTAGTCACCTGTTGCTACGGTTACTCGTCACCTGTCCCTGTTGCTATGGTTACTAGTCACCTGTTGCTACGGTTACTCGTCACCTGTTGCTATGGTTACTAGTCACCTGTCCCTGTTGCTATGGTTACTAGTCACCTGTTGCTACGGCTACGAGTTTACCAGCAGCCCGGTAACTACTCAGTGAGACATCAAACCCTGGTTACAAAGACAAAGGTCCCCCGTATAGCCTTAACAGACTGTAGGGGCAAGTTCTGTTTGCGAGCAGCACCTATGAAGACAGGCACGGCACACGAGGGGGTGGGTGGCCAGCACCACGGCCCACCGCCTTTGTCTCTCCAGCGGCGATGTTTACACATCCCACCAGGTACTCATTTGAGGCTGAGTCGACCTGCGGGAGGCCCAGGACCGGTTCAGGAAATCGTCACCGGTGTTGGCCATGAGCGGGGATCGAACGCGGATCGCCGGGTTCGTAGCGCAGCCTCGCATGAGCACCCTGGTGCGTTTGTGTCAACATCGCCACTGGGGAGACAAAGGCGGTAGGCCGTGGTGCTGGTCACCCACCACCTCATGTGCCCGTGGTGCCGACCTTGAGAGGTGCTGCTTCTCGCTAACAGCACTTGTCCCCAACAATCCCAAAAATCTGTTAAGGGGTTGCTTGTCTTGGTGCCCTGGCTTTATTCACCTCTGCAGTGATGCATGCTGTAGGCCAGGGGCGGGGAACCTTTTTTCTGCCAAGGGCCATTTGGATATTTAGAACATCATTCGCGGGCCATACAAAATTATCAACTTAAAAATTAGCCCGTTATATTTGGTCAAACGTTTAATTAACTCACCCCTAATGTGATGGGCTGGAACTACTTCTCTTTTGCGAGGCGTGTGATGTTAGCTGGTGTTGATGATGTTGCTGCTACTCGCAACTGCTTTTCCAGGTTTACTCCTAGATTTATTGAATTTCGAGTCCAGTCTGCGGTTGCCTTGGCAGGGCCACACCAAATGATTTCGCGGGGCCTTATACGACCCGCGGGCCGGACGTTCTCCACATCTGCTGTAGGCAGAACCCGGCCTTTTGGCATAGCTCACCGTATGATAAATTTCGATTTAAAGCTTTCGTGACTGCAGGGATTCATCTTCTTGGTTCTTTCGGTAAAGTCACGTAGAAGGGAAGTAATAAAATAATAAAAATAAAACATAATAAAATAATTCTCACGACGTTTCGGCCACAACACAAGCAGCCGTCCTCAGGTGAAGACCAGGTCTGTCGAGGCGACAGCGTCTAAATGAAACACCACCACGCGTGGTGGTGTGAAACGTCATGAGAATTATTTTATTATGTTTTCTTTTTCTTATTTTATTACTTCCCTTCTACGTGACTTTACCGAAAGAACCAAGAACACCGTATGATAGTTATCCGCAACTGTGCTTATCGTGAATGTATAACCACAGTCATCTTGCTCCACTTAAGACCGGAATCAGATGAATCTCTTCACAATTCTGGCAAAATCGCCCGATGATGCTGGGATGTAATTGCTAGCGAAACTTTACGGTACTCAAATTGTAAATGGTGTGGTTTTACTCTCCAACGCACAGGGGGGGGGGGGCAAAGTAGTCACTAATTGCCACGTTTTGTCTACGTGACACACCTTACTGGTTGGCTGTGTCGCTTTTAAGGGATTACATCTTGAATCCTTGCCTCACTTGATGCAGCTAATCTGGCTGTGACGGTCCCACCTGATGACGGAGACTTGTGTTGCCTCCGAAACGTCGTGATCTTTATTTTATTTTATTTTTATTAATTTTGATGTTTTACCTACGTGACTTTACCGAAAAAACCTAAGAATATGAATCCTTGCAGTCACGAAAGCTTCAAATCTAGAATTAACTATCAGAGTTATGTCTTTTGTTTGTATTATGACTGCAGGTATTGCGGTCTATGCAAACATGACTCCTTGTAAAAAAGGTGTCAGTTTTGTTGCCAGATAGAAGGATAAAAAAAACCTATTATCATATTTTTACTGGCAAATGAGGTTCCCATAGTAACTCCACATACTTACGCGATCTAATCAAAAGAAACCTATTTCATAATATTGGTCACGGAAGCCCACGCGTCAAAATACGATTAGTGTATTTGGCTGCTATGGATCTCACGGTATTTATTGGATAGTTTGTCGTTGCTCTAGCCCTTCTAGAGCATGCATTACCATTGACATAGTTCACAGCTTTCTAGCCCCTTCTAGAACATCATTCGAATGTATAGAACTGCACTACAGTACGCAGTGTACACTGCACTCACACATGCCGCAATTGTGTATCGGCGCATGTCAGGAGTCTGGGCGGCACTTACAGGGCAAGACGGATCCACTGCTATGCCAGTGTGAACCTGGCAAAACCAGGTGGGTGGCTGGGTGCGGATTGTGTGGCCCATGGGCGGATTGAGCCAGACAGGGAATGGGTTCCAAAATCACACAAGCACCACGCGTGGTTCATGCTCATCGCACTGATAGAGAGTAGAGGATCACAACTTTGCAGTGTGAGTATCGGTCTTGGTTGAAAGTTTCACTTTGATTAACCGGGTGGAAATGTCAAGAGACCAGGATGAGCAGAATTACAAAATGACAAGAGCAAATGGAAAAAAAAATTCAGCGCATCAAAGACGCAAGTAGAAATTGGAACACAAAAAAATATTTAAAAATACTTTAAAAAAAGACACGCTTTAATGAAATGTACTGTCCGAGCTGCCCCTCCCCCTGCCCCCTTCCCCCATCGCCCCTCCCCTCTTTCCACATCCCCCGCCCCTCGGCGTGGCTCCCCGAGGCTTGCCGTGACGTAAGGGACCACGTGGTGATTTACAGGCAACGTGAGTTGAGCGTGGACAATTAGACCCGTAAAAAAGATTGTTTAAAATATATGTTTATTGTTTAATGATAGAATATAGTATTGTCATCAGTATGACACAGCTATACCAAGTTTGCAGTCGATACGACATTGGGAATACGGTTGAAATTGAGTTACAAGATTTTAGAATACGACAACACACAGAGTAAGTTAAATAAAAGCGTGTTAAATGTTTAAAAATATATGTTTTGAATTTTTTACGATAGAATATAGTCTTGTCATCAGTATGACCTAGGTATTTCAAGTTTGCAGTGGGTTTACCAGGTTCAAACCGGGATACGTGCACCTTTCCTGGCACGAGGGCTGTGGTGAAGTCGCCATCACTTAGTGGTGAGTGGCTGTCGTTGTGCATGTGTGTGTTCGTTTGCGTGACTGGCAAAATAACCCCCACCTCCGCGGAGGTTGCCAGCCCGTAGCACTGTTGTGTTGTGAAAAGTGCAGCAAGTTGGCACAGTGGGGGGCACAGGTGGCGCGTCGACCAGTCATCTCAGTCAACCCATGGCACCTGGGTCTGTCACGTGACCTCCTGCCAGCGATCCTTCCACACTTCACGTGGCCTCAGAGTGCGCCTAGCCTGACGCAAGCGCTGTGCTGACGTCACCGCCACTTAGTGGCATGCATAAGAGTGCTTTCTCATGTGTGTTTACGCATACATAAATACTATGCACGTGTGCTTTCGGGTCGTACCGCGTGTCGTTCCGCACGTGACAACCCTTACTAATTGGCGGTGTCGGGTGGTGGCGGGTTTTAACGACACGTTTATATATTTACGCGATCTAACCCAAAAAAACTTCTATTATGGATGATATTGGTCGCGAAAGCCTACGTGTTGAATATTACAAAATGGTCACAGTGAGCAATGCGTAAGCTCCGCGCACGTGTGCGTCTGTTCTTACACGCGTGCGCTTTCCACCCCCCCCTCCCCACAGCTCGTCGCTGGAGTCGGAGGTGCGCATGCTCGTGTACGTGCACGTGGTCCTGTGGGCGCTCGTTCTGCTGCAGGTCATCGTGAGCAGCCTGCGCCTCGTGCCCAGTAGCCTGGTGGCGCGGCCCTACCTCTGGGAGTACCCCTACCTGCTGAGCGTGGCTCCCGCGCTGCTCACGATTAGCGCCATGCGCAGGTGAGGAGCCGGGAGGAACGGGAGTAGGGTCGTTGGATCCAAAATTGAGGACTGCAATTTTATGACGGGTACATTTTTCTTCCCGCGAGCTTGCCAAAGTTTGCCAGACCGCGGCGTCGGTGCGCACGTGCGGCCTGCACTTTGTCCGTACGTATGTTGAACCTCTTTCGCACCATCCGTAGCCAACCGTGCTAATCAGAGGCGCGGGGAGGGGACGGACAACAAACTAAACACGAAAGGCAGTGCTAAAAGAAATGAGCTTTTCAGTCTTTTTCAATTCGCCGCAGCAGGGTCGTTAACGTTCCCTGCGATGCATGCGACGTGCGGGCGTTACGGTGAATACTCGCCGCGGCATTAGCACCGCGGCAAGTGACAGCTCAGCCGTTGTCACCGCCCCACCCATCATCGGATGTCGATTGTACGGCAGTGGTAAAATCTTGCAGAAGGGGGGCAGCGATGGCGGTGGCATCGATGGTATTGGTCGGGATGACTTGTTGACCATGGCCCCCCCCCTGGGTTCACCGTCCTGTGGCCAGCGGCCCTTGCATTCTCCGAGTACGCACAAAGCATAAGAAGGTTCTTCAACTTCAACGGCAGTTCGATCAACATCGGCCGTAGGCCATGCGTCTTTTAACCATCGCAACTTTACAACCTGTAATGCGTGCAGTGCAGATGCTGCCATTTACCAAAGGCAAAACAAATGAACGATGTGTATATTTGTTTTCCAAATGGATGATGACGATTGTCGTGTGTGGACCTGTTGAACATTCTCCCACCTCCGATGGTTGGCTACGTACAGTGCGAAAGAAGTTCAACATGCATGCATACGGGTCACTGCCGTCATCCTGCATACAGGAAAAAGGAGTCTTGGGACTCGGCGTTGCATTTCCTGGATAAATGCATGATGTTATAATTACAGTAGCAATATGTAAAGAATTCCACGGTAACAGCTATAATCATAGATTTCCCTGCCCTAAACATTACACGTGCAAAACCTATCATTAACATCACAGTTTCTAGGAGCCCACGGAAATGCTCGTTTGCCACGTGCGCTATAATGGTGCCGGATCTGTCGCACAACACGCACATTGACAGATTTACGCAATTAGTGAATAATTTTTCTAGTTTTCGTGACTGCAAGAATTCATACTCTTGGGTTTTATTCGGTAAAGTCACGTGGGTAAAAGAATTAAATAAAAATGAAAAACAACTAAATTAAATTATTTTATTTTTTTACCGACGTGACTTTACCGAATAAAAACCAAAGAGTAGTGAATTATTTGCCACACATCCTGTAAAACCAATTTATGAAACTTTTGAGCAACGTGCATTTCCAACAACACATCCCTGTCGCCAAGCGCGTGCGTGGTGTACATGCTGTAACCGCATTGTTGTTGACACGACCCTCGTTACCCCTCCCCGTGACCTTGCGACCTCCCGTGACCCGACCAGGAGGAGCACGTACCGCATGGTCCTTGCCATGGCGATGACGTCGCTTGTGTCGCTGGGCCCTCTGGTCTACGGGAGCGTCGAGATGTTCCCAATGGCCAGGCAGCTTTACACGCAGGTAACGACAATCATTTAAAATTGTTTAAATTATTATTCGTTCGTTTCTCAGTCCGCTTGTCCTGGTGAGGGTTGCTGCGGCAGCGTGTTGAGTAGGCCGGTCCAGACCTCCCTCTCCCTGGCGACAGACTCTCGCGCTACACTACTATACACTCTATACTCTTATACACTACTACTATACACTACACACTACTATACACAGACTCTAGCTCTTCCTGGGGAATTCCTAGGCGTTCCCAGGCCAGCCGAGCGACATCGTCCCGCCAGCGTGTCCTGGGCCGGTCCCGGGGTGTGCACCCAGGGGGAAGTGCCCGGCACGGAACGCGGACGACGGGGAGGGAGAGTACAAGCAACCTCGCGAGCGACAAACCCGGGGCCAGCTGACCTCGGTGTAGGTCGTGGGTTTGATCCCGACCCTGACGTCTCCTCTATCCCCATCCCGAATCCCTCCTGCGTCCACTACCGAAGCCGTTTGTCGACGGCAGGTCGAGTGTGGGGTGCCTCGTTGGCAAGATGTTAACTCCCTCGCCTGGTGTACACGAGGTCGTGGATTCGATCTCGACCCTGACGCCTGCTGTATATGTGGGGTTTGCGTGTCTCTCTGCCCGTGATCACTTGGATTTTTCCCTGGGTCGTCCGGTTTTTCTCTCCACATTTAGAATCAACGTGTGTTTACAGCATTTGGTTGCTGTAAATTTCTTACTACTCTGAGTAGAAGGCGATCCGAAGGTCTAAGAGAGACCTCCTTGGTGTATAAAGATGGATCAGATGCTGTAAATACTGCGGGGTCTAACCCATTGAGTGCCCTGTAGGTCAGCAGGTGCGTCCAACCCCTCCTGATTTGTTTACATTATTTTATCCTATTTTCCAATAAACGCAGATGCAGAGCACAGGCCCAAGGTCCCAAAATTTCAAGCAGCCAGTGTAAGTCCACGGGTAAGTGCCCGAACCTGCTCTGGCTTCCGTGGATCTTTGTCCGTTTCAAATGAAGCCCTGTTGAAACGTTGCAAACCATCTCCCATCTCTTGTCAAGCTGCCACTCAAGTGCTGATGGTGCACTCAACCCGTCACTTTAAAAGTCTTTTCTTTCGGTCAATAGTTTGTCGTTCTCCCACCACACCTCCTGTTAGCACAGCTGGGTACGTACGGTAGCCTTACCGTACTAATATACATGCATATGATAGTTAGGTTTCGAACTCGTGCCAGACAGTGCAGTAGGACACACTGCCTGGGTATAAATGGGAATCTGACATTGAGTGGCGTGCAACCGCCACCTTGTGGAAATTCCTGGCAGTGCCGCCAGGAATTCCTGTTGCGGATGGAATTGTGACTGTGCAAATTCGCAGCCCCCCCCCCCCCGCTGCTTTGGGGGCCTTCTGAAGACGTGTGTGTTGTGTGTCCACATCTCTGTGTCGGCCACCCCCTGTGAATTTCGTTCGCGAAACGAGCACCGCTTGCGCGTGCGTTTTTTGCGTGCGCAGGGAAAGGTTTACCGCCACATTCTCGGCTTCTCGGCCGTGTCGGTGCTGTACTTCGCGATGGTGATCGCCGTGCAGGTGCACGGCTGGCAGCTCTACTACTGCAAGCAGCTGCTGGAGGTGTGGTCCTCCGCTCCCACCCAGGAGGCGCCCGGGGGCCAGCGCAAGAGCCAGTGACGTCCCCGAAGGACCCTCCGTCGCCATCCACCCCACCCTCCGCTTTTGCCTCTTTTTTCACGGGGGTGTCAGGCACCCCACACCTGCCCCTTTCTCTCCTCTGTGACTTCACCCGTCGGGTGGTGATCTGCGTACAAACCTGAGCCGCACCGGTGCCGTGCAGCGATGTTCGTTGTTGAGTCGCACTACGCTCCCTGGCCTTCCAACGACTCGCGCCGACCGGCATGGTGAAGTACGGTCAGAAGTCTCCCACGGCCTGGCACAGTGGGGGGAGGCCGGCCTTCATCCAGCAGTGGGTTGACATGGGGTTGTACGTGTGCGGTCTTGTTAAATTATTGTTTTTCTTCAAACGGTTTTCAATTGCTATTGTTAACGTCGGCATTATGTTTCCGATGTGCGCATATATTTCCAGTAAGATATGCTCGCAGCTAGCAGTAGGCTTTGTACGGTTTATAAACTTTTCCACAATGAACGTCATTTAATAGGGCAGTGGTGGTGGGTCATGCACATGGCTGCCTGTAATCCATCACTGGAGGAGGCAGCAGCGAGGGTTGGTGGTTCACACGTAGATGTCGTGGACGTCGCTTCCCGCGGACGACGCAGGCGCCCGTACCCTGGCTCGCCGGGAGAAAGGCGGCACAGCAAAAGTGTGGGCCCCACCCGTCTCCTCTGCGTGGCATGGAGTGTTGCCCCCGTCTCCGGGCGCTCCGGTTTCTTCCCACACGTAAACACTCGTACTAGTAGGAACCTCCTGGTTACACCAGCCCACAGGGGATTATTGTGTCCGTCGTGCAGGGAGGGGCTGGGTGGAGAGGGAGGGGCTGGGTGGGGAGGGTGGGTGGGTGGGGAGGGGTTGGGTGGGGAGGGGCTGGGTGGGGGGTGGGAGGGATGGGGCTGGGTGGGGAGGGGCTGGTCACCCCGTGGTGCCCTTATAAAACTCAACGTTTAACCTACTCACGCTGGCTTGTGCCCGCCCTCACAGTCGGGCATATTTGCGGAATACACCACGCCGCCGTTGACCCTGGCCATTGACCGAGCAACCCAACGTTCCTACCAGCTCCCTCCGCAGGAATGTGTTTAATTGGCCAATAACACCTTTGGATATACAGAGGGACAGCAGAGAGCTCGGGCGATTGTTGGCGCCGGCTCATCGTGTGGTCACTGCCTTCCCACGTTGTCTGCGGTGCCTCGCGCCTCCCCGAGTCGTTCTCCGTCGTCGAGGGAGTGAGCGGACATCGTGCCACACGTTCCAAGTTTAATTTGTATTATTATTGCGACAAAAGGGCTCTCCGATGTGTTTTTCGGGCTGTATCGCGTGCGGCGCCGCGTGATGCCCGACGTTCTGCCTTCGTCTCAGTGGCGAGCTCTACGGCACGACCTCGAAAAGCAGCGCAGAGTGATATTTAAAACGATCGTTGGAAAAAAAGTCAAATGTGTCTCAGTACAAGCTGGCGAGCGTTCGCATTCTTATAACTGTTGAGTTTTATATCGTAATATGCGGTTAATACTTAAAGCGGTTCTGGCTTGTGATTTTTTGTTTTATTTGTGATACCGCAGCAACATTCCAGAGAACGTTTTCGAGTCGTCGTACTGATTGGAAAAGGTAATTTCGCTGTTGCTGGCTTGTTTCATATTTTGTATTTGTGTTGAATTTAACATCATGTTGAGTGCAGAATTGTACTTTTTTAACCCATGAAGAGAAATAAAAAATAAATGGCACCAACATATATTTTAAAAGCTCCACATTTGTTTATTTCCATATAATTGACCATATGTAGAGATAGATTATGACCATTTATTTTTCGTTTTAATTTTGACTGACATTGGTGAAACATCCCAATAAACATAGGACCACAAATCTTGGGTAAATTGCTGGCACCAGTTAATGGCTGCCTTCCCTGCTTGTCGGCGATTTATATAAGACCGGCGGTGTGAGATGCAGTTTGCATGAACGAAGTGATATAAAATAACATCATTTGGAACTTTCACTGCTCTACAGTCACATGCAGTGTCGACTGCCCCAGCCAATGCACTCAGTGTAACGTGCAGATCCTAATAATGTGCAACAAAATATAAAAGCATTGTCTCCTTCACGTGTCCACGGCTATCTGGGACGCTCTTCCTTCCGATATTAGGAAGCTATTGGAGCTATGCACTTTTATATCTAGATGAAAAACTTTTTTTTATCGAACTGCTATTCGTGTTTAGTGTTTTGTTCTTCCCCTGCAACTCTGATAATTATCACGGTTGGTTACTTATAGTACGAAAAAAGTTCAACATACATAGTTTCATAATGAGTGTGAACCTTTCACCCGTATTGATCTTTTAGACGAGGCTTTGCAGCCTTCATTGTTAAGCGTTTCAATAATTCCCTGCTGTTCATCTTCATTCGTTTCTACAATGACGATGTCATTGGCAAATGTAAGATGATTAATATCTCAAGTCGTGCTTTTGCATTTAATTCTCCAATATCAGTTTTTATTTATTTTCGTATGTATGTTGAACTTATTTTGCACCACACGTAGCCAACCGTGCTGTCTACTCTTCTGATTTGTATTTTGTTTCTGCGATATCGGTGTAGCTGTTTAATATACAAGTTTAATTTCTGTATTTGATTGAAAAAATAAGGCCTTCGTGAGAGCTTTGAATGACTGCATCAATGTTTCTACCGCAGGTGTTTTTTTTAATAGTCAATACAAGCCAGGCATCATGGTATCTGATGTTGATTTGTCTTTTGTGGAATCTGATTAATTTATGGATGATCTTTGGCTTAGGCCTGTAAATGACGTGACCAAATCTGTGTCATTAAAAACCCTCCACCACCCGACTTAGACAAACAAATGGCTTGTCACGTGGTGTTTATGCCGTCTTGCAACGTGTCAATAATTGTCCTCGCAACCAAATTCCTTCAACTGGTGCGGTGTTCTGAATAACGCCGATTTGGTCAGGTCAGTGCATACCAGAGGTCGCAAACGGGTTTTGATTCCTTACCCGTACCCGGCCGCACCAGGGTCGCAAACGGGTACCCGTACCCTACCCGATACCCGGCTACCCGTACCCGGCCGGGTATCGGGTAGGGTAAGGGTACCCGATTGCGACCTCTGGGATGAAGCCATGTTGCAGGCGCGGGTGGGTTGATTCTAGGAACTTGAATTGTGAAAATAGTCAAGACGTTAGGAAATGAGTGACAAACGGTTACTCACCAGTGACTCACGGCCTACCCGTACCCGGCCGCACCAGGGTCGCAAACGGGTACCCGTACCCGGCCGGGTACGGGTAGCCGGGTATCGGGTAGGGTACGGGTATCGGGTACCCGGTTGCCACCTCTGGTGCATACCGTGGCCGAATCCAAACATCGATGAAGAATCATAATAGTAGCTCCGAAGACGCGTTTGTTAGAACCTCTTTGGCGCAGCGTGTGTGTGTGGACGACGGAAAAAAGAGCAACTAAATACAAGATACAGAGAGTAGGGGAAAAAAACCCCGGTCAAAAATGAGACGTACAAGCAGGATCAATAACCCACTTGTTGTGCTGCAATGTTGAGCCCACGTCGCAGCTTTTAGTGGACGGGAGTGTTTTGCCGGCGTGTGTGGGGAGCGGTGGTGTAGCGGTGAGCGCGCTGTGCTTTGAACCCGGCGCCTCGCGTTCGATTCCCGCTCATGGCCAACACAAGTGACGATTATTTTAAGCGGTCCTGGGCCTCCCCTAGGTAGACTCAGCCTCAAATTAATACCTCGTGTGGTGTCAACATCGCCGGGCGTGGTGCTGGCCACCCATTTTTTCGTGTGTTGTACCAACACAACAGTCTGTTAAGGTTATGGGGGGGGGGGGGGGGGTCTTTGTGGGGAGTAAACCAGAAAAAATCCACCAGGGCCACGCATGCGATGAGATCACGCACCCCCCTACTTGCTGCACTGCAGTTTTCCTCGCCATCCTACAGCACACAAGGGGGTTTTGGAGTTGCAGTTCACTATCACTTGTTCTCTTACTGAATCTAACCTCATCCCCTCCACCATTCAACTCGTGATTAGCCACTTGGCATGTGTCTACGTGGAAGCTGTGTATGTCCATCACGCCAGCTTTTTGCTTTCCTCCTGTCTCCTTCCCTCGGTCCTGGCTTTCTTCTCTGACGAGGCCGCGGGTTTCTTGTTCTTGTGTCCCTGCTCACGCGGCTTCTTCTCATCACGTGCTTTAGGCCCCTCGACGCGTGGTAGAATCTGTGGGTAAAACCGGGCAGTGAGTGGTGCGGTTAGTAACTTGCAGCAGCAGCACGTTGCCGTCCACTCATTGACATGCTAATTTTCTCTGCCCCCTCCCTCTCTCCGTCCTTGCCCCCCTCTCTATATTTAAGGGACCGTCACAGAAACGACCCCTCTCTTTGTGCCGATATGTGTCCTCTCTCTGTGTGTCCCTGTGAAGTCTGTCTGCTTGTATGTCTGTCTATAGTTTTCTAGTTAGATTTTTGTTGCTATTTATTTTATGCCTGATGATGATTGCTTGTGTTGCAATCGAAACGTCGTAATATGCTATTATTTTAATTTATTATTTTATCTTTAGACGTGACTTAACCGAAAGAACCAAAGAATAATTCCTGCAGTCACGAAAGCTCCAAAATTAAGATTAGTAACACCTGTTTTTGAAAGAGCCGCCCTCCTAACACGAAACGATTTGTTTTTATTTGACCAGGTAAGGTCCACCGAGCTATACAGCTCTTTTTTGCAGAAGCGACCTGCCCACAAATGATAGCCCCACGAAGTGGCCGATCGTGTAGGAATGTCGACTCTGAACCCAGGAGCACCAGCCAGGGTTATTCGGAGCCAGGGTTTGGCCAGACGGTCACTACTGAATTGCAGAGCGCATGGCGTGCACATCGGAGATGAACTTTGACACTTTTTTTGCACATTGGCAGGGCGTGGGGAGTCTTGCTTACTGCTCAGGAATGGGACTCGCATGATCAGATAAGAGACTTTTATGGGAGAATCGTCAAACGCCGAGGAACGTAGACGTGATTTGTCACAAGTTCATAGCTGAGGTTTTAAAAATATGATGCGGTAGATGCTTGTCAAATATCAGGCAGGTTTTTTTGACCGATCTGGCATCTCTCGGCGCTGCGAAAGAGGGCCATTGCCCGAAACGTCACCCATTATACACTTTTAAGGCCACATTGACGAATGCGTTGAGCTTTGGTGGCAAATGTGGATTCTTTGGTATATTATTACGTTTATTGTCACTTTTTTTTTACCGAGAAAAGCCTTCCCGAGTCTCATGACTCTTTTCAGGAGGGTCCTGCCAGGTTTTGGGAGTACAGTCGTGAGCGATGTTTGCTTCATAAGTATATATACAGTAGAAATATATAAAATGTTCGTATATAAACCATAGTGATACACTAAACGTGTAGCATTCCACAACGCGTATACATCTGATACAGAATAGAGATCTTGCATTAGTCTAAAGCATTGGTTCTTAACCTTGTTGGAGGTACTGAACCCCACCAGTTTCATATGCGCATTCACCGAATCCTTCTTAATTGGAAAAATAAAATATGATTTTTTCAAATTCAAAACATAGGTGTATATGTTTTACTGGTGCACAATCATATGAGTCGGGTGTGTGTCTTAACCTCCGCCGAACCCCTGAGACTGACTCACCGAACCCCTGGGGTTCGATCGAACCCAGGTGAAGAACCACTGGTACTCTAAAGGTTAAACGTGCGAATCCACTGCCGAATGAGCGGCCCTCCCCACGCACGCGCGGGTGGTGATGGCTACTTGACCTTGCCAACATTACCCTCGGCAGAGTACAAAACAAAGCGCA